ATAGTGGCGCTTTTGATTTTCTTGTGCGTGGGTGGCTTTCTTGATCGGCCTTGTTCGGATCTTCTGATAGGCCGCTTTGCGATCGTTGGCACGTGGAATTATAATAGGAGCATCCAGACTGAGGACCGCTTTCAGCTGTGGTAGTTTCCCGTAAACAATTTCGTAGAGCATTTTCCCGGTAGATGTCTGCTGTGCCGTGTTAATCGCAAAAGCGGCTGACGGAAGGTGGACGTCCCAGTCGGCCTCTCCTCTTGTGCCTGCCTTCGTAAATGGAGCGAGTCGTGCCTGGATGCTCTGGTTGGTTCTCTCAGTAAGGCCGTTTGCTTGAGGATGAAACGCGGATGCGAAGTGGTGCTGCACGCCTGCCGAGCAAAGCTACCTATTCAGTTGCCCGCTTCGAAATGTTGTAGCCCGATCAGATATTAACTTTTTGGTAAGCCAAGTCTCCATTCAAATTGATGCTTGAGGAAGTCGACTAGGTAAGTGGATGCAAGAGATGGCGCGGCCTCCACTTCCATTTATTTTGACAGGTATTCTACTGCTACAATAACGTAACGATTTCTCGCAGTGGTGGTGGGTAGAGGTCCCATGTAATCAATGCCAATCGTGTGGAAAATTGTTTCGCGTATCTGGAATGGTGTTCTGATCTCGTGCACATGACCGCATTGCCGAACGTCAGACCAGGAACCATGACCCCTTTTCATATTCCCCTCACAGCATCATACCTATTCTAATTGCACAGTGCCCTGTTTTTCATCACTGCTGCATTCCTGTTACCTTTAGTCGTCACGTATATATTTGGTTCCTTTAGGTACTCGTTGCCATTGCTTATCCATACGCCCAGATATTTGTACTTATCTGTTATCTCTAGCGTGACCTCCTGCATTATAAGCTCACTACCTTCATTATCCTTAACAATCGTGACTGCTAATTTTCCCTTACTGAATCTGAAATCTATCTTATCTTTCTGATTACCGCAGATGTCCATGAATCTCTGCAAATCTTCCCTGTTGTCGGCCATTAGCACTATATCATCTACGTACATCTATGCTGGTAGTGCCTGTTCAATGGGTTTTCCTTCTATGACGAAAGAGAGGTTGAAGCCAAATCCACTTCCCTCTAATTTGGCCTCAAATCCTTGTAGGTACATCAAAAATAACAAGGGTGACAGAGGACACCCCTGCCTAAGCCCCTGTTTTACCTCTGTGGTCTTGGATACCTGTTTTTCCCACTTTATAACTACCTTGTTACTTTTATGGATATCTTTTAAATATTAGTGACTCCATCTTCCCCACCGAAGGTGTCCAGTATTCCCATAAGTCCTCTTGAACCACGCTATTGTATGCTCCCTTGATACCCAAAAAATGCTAGTCACAGGGGCCTGTGTTATTTTTCTGCTATTTCGATGCACTGCATCAGTGAGAACATATTGTCTTCCAACCTCCTGTGTTTCTTAAACCAAGTTAGCAGTTCCCCCTGCACTCCCTCATCCTCTATCCCTGCCTGCAGTCTTTCCTTTATAATCTGCATCGCCAGCCTGTAGACCACTGTCGTCACTGTTAAAGGGCTGTAGTTGTTTGTGTCAGCTTTATCCCTCTTTATGGATCATGCTCATCCTGCTAAGTTTTCATCCATCGGGGACTTCACCATCAATTAATATTTTGTTCACTGTCTCTCTCAAAGTCTACCTAGACTTCGGACCCAATGTCTTTATCAGCATAATTGTAATGCCATCTGGGCCTGTTGATGTACTACTAGGAACTCTGTTCTCAGCCCTTTCGCACTCTCATTGTGAAAATGGAGTCATTGCGCCACTTGATTCATCCTTGTCTATTGCGGTGCATAAGGCACTTCTTTGTTGAAAATTTTCTGTCACCCCTGTTTTTATATATTCGATAGCTTTGTCTTTTCTAGCATAGCTCCTTGAGCTGTAGTTTTAAACCTACGCTCTAGGCTCGTCTCAATTCTTAGGAGTTTAGATATTTCGAATATTTCGCAGCTGCCTTTCTACCCTTTTGTAGTAATTCTGCCGGTCACTGAGCTTCATCTTTTCTAATCTTTTGATTGATCAGTAGGAATGCTGCTTTTCTAGAAGTTAGAAAGATGTCACATTTTTTTAACATTATCTGTCGGTTCACCCCGCTGCTCAGCATGTCTGTGTTTCCTACAGGCTTTCTGACGTTTTGCTATGGCTCTCTTAACTTCCTCATCCCACCAACTCTCGGGTTTGTGTCTTTTCCAAGGTCTAATTAGATTTGTGTATGTCCATACTGTTTTATTATCCTCAGTGATTACTTTCTCAATTTGTTTAGTGGCTATTTCAATTTGCCTTTCTGAATAAAACTTTTCCGGTAGTTGCTCATCTTGTCTCCTTCCCACTTTCACTGCTCTTCCAAAACTTAGCTTGATATGTTTGTGATACCTACCCAGACTTCTGGAGCCACATTCATTTATGTGCATTCCCCTGAGCCTATCATACATCGTATGTGACATCAGTGCGTAATCTATCGTCGACTGCAGCCTTCCAACCTCCCATGTTATTTGCCCTTCCCTCCACTGGACACGAGTGCCCCTCTTCGCCAGTCTTCTTCTCGTCACCACCTCTGCGCTGTGTTCACTGAGATGACCCTTCAAATGAGAGTGGTTCGTCGCACCAGCTTCCTCTCTAAGGGGGGAGCAATCTATAGCCAAGCGGCTGTCACCGTGCACCCCGCGGTCATAAAAATATGCGGAGCAGCATTCCAAGCAACGTGCTGCTCTCCTGTCTGTTTCTCATTCGACTCTTTCACTCATGCCACTTGCACCTGCTCGATTTTCGGCTCTCTGGTTGTCAGAATAAAGTAGACGTTATTGCTGAAAAGACGTGTCCTTCTCGTACAACCTGGCTCTAAAAGCCGTGAGCAGCGTCTGAGCTCACCTCGCATAGTTCTCGAGGCACCGTGCACGAGCTGGCTGCTTTGTTCGCTGACGGGTTGAGTAGCGCGTCATCTGGCGATTGTACACGTAAAGTCTTAACATTTTACGTGCACTGATGCCAATTAGACTAATCAGCTAACTATTTCCAGGTAGACATCATATGTAAGGTAATCGAGACCTAGCCTCATATGCAGAAATTATTTAATTAAGATATTCAAAATAATTAGGCTAATTGAACCTGGTACACTCGGAGTGAAATTTATTCAATACTAGAACTTTCATGTACAAATTTCAGCAATCAAACTAATTAACATAAATGGTGTTATCATTACTAGGTGATTTTTCATGAGATTTACAATTTGCACATGTGAACACTTCCTGCATTAGCAGCTGAATGCATGTTCGCCTAGTCTAGCAAAAACCACCCAACTGCCCACAAACTTTGTCCTGTTGCAGCTTTGCACAATTCAGTGGAACCTGCGCAAATTTGTTTTGGAAATACGATTTTATGGCGTGCAATTCAGTCAGATCTCACATGAATGTTACAATACGACGAAAGCGTGCAAGACATTGGCAATTATTGACAAGGAAAAGTTCGTGAATGTTTATTGCCCTGCATGCGAGAGCAACATATTCAGATTGTTGCTGGGTTTTTGGGTTGTACTTCTCACTTCAGTGTTGTAAAGGTTTTTTTTATCAGATAAGGCTGCGGCTGCTGCTCTGTTCAAGGGAGGCGTGAGGAGTCATTAGACGAATGTAATCGGGCGTTCGTAGCAACTGTGCTAAACACGGGAGCCCTCACTTGTGGCTGTGTGGTTGACCTTGACATTGGCAAAAAGTTTTATAGGGGCACATTTTCGAAATCCTTCTAAAATGAGCATACTTGAAACCACTGTATTTCATCATTTGATTTTATACAAGTAAACTTAAACTTAATGTAAGTGTGCCGCACGAGGAGGTTTAAAAAACTTTCTCGGTGCCACACCATTACTCGAGCAGAACTGTGAGTTCCGGTGGTTGGGCAGCCTAATTTAATGTGTTCATTTAAACATTATGACGTTTTACGTGCCAAACTCAAGATAAATCAATAGGCGGGTGCAGTAGTGAGGCTGTCTTTATCAGTTTGTACCACCTGCGTTTTTTTATGTCCACATAAATGCAAGTATGCATGTTCCCCTGCATATCACCTTCATTAAACGAAGCGGAGTCACTGTGATCTGCAGGGAGTCCGACGTCCTCAAACTCAGCGCGACACCTTATCAACACCGCGTTTGGCCCGTTTTACAGCAAAACTATGTAGGGATAGGTGACTGCACTACAGCAGTTCATAGTACGTGAAAAACTGCTATGAATGGTCGTGTACGAGTAAAATAAAGTGACGTTTCAATAGCTACTTACGTTCGCGTTGAAAAATATGCACGAACGAAAAACAGTGGGTGTGCTGTCCGGATGTTCGTACTATTGCTTTAGTTACTATAGGGGTATTTGCGCTTATTCTCAGCTATGAATGTTGTGCCTAAGCTTAGTTATGATTGGGAAAGAATAGCCTTAAGGTGAACACGTGTGAATGCTACCTAAACATTTGATTGTTATCCTTCATATCTTCACCATATTCCCATGGTAAAGAACAAGCAGTAGGTACAGGGCTGGTCAAAGGTTCCCAGGCCACTATCCCAAGTGTGCCTATGGCAGCGTAAACCAAGAATTTTCGACCCCCTCCTTCCTTTAAATGTGCGAGCACTTCATTGGATGTGCGCGACAATATTTCAGCTTTTGCGGTTAAAGAACGTGTCTAAAATTTATTGCTCGCTCGAGCGAGAACTTTCATTGCTTGTTATGAGGGCAGAAAAATAGAATAAAAAACATATGGTTGTTGTTTCAGACACTGTTTTGACGTCTGTGAAGCCAAGGTACATTCTTATGATTTCAACAGTTAAATATGCAGAGTAAGTTAGATGTGATGTGTACCGCTGGCCTATGAATGCTCAAATCAGCATCGTAAGAAATCCTTTTGCATTGTTTGCTTGGTATCTTTCATTTTTACTCATTCATTTAGGGAAATAAAACATTTGACTTTTTTGTAGGGATTTCACTCGGAAGCAAGGTTTGATTGGATTGGTTGGCGCTTCTGGCTTGACTAGTCATTCGGAAAACCAAGCAACATGAAAAGCTCAGCGCTCTCCGCAAGATATCTTGCTCCCGTCCTACTTGGTGAGAAAATCATAAGGTTTTATTTCTTGCGTACTCTGTTATATTACCTTTGCATGTGGCACAACTTTAAATAAGCTGTTCAGCTAGCAGTAGATGATACTATGAATTTTTTAAAACTGAATCAAGGTAGCTTGGCAACTGTCAGGTATGAAGCACCAAGCTAACATCGGCATCTGAAGCAATATACTACAGGTCTTAAGTTAGGTTAACTAAAAGCGAAACTTAAAGCAATAAAAACTTTGTATGCGTTTGCCGCAACAATGCTATAGGTGTTCAAGGGTGCTTGTTTGCTGTTTTTTTTTTCAGCCGAAATAGAAGTGCGGTTTGTTGGAAACAGAAATAAATATGAAAAGTTCATTGGCCTGTGATATAACATTGTCCAGTAGTCCTCCCGCTATAAATAGGGCCATCGGGATCTTTAAAAAGAAATTCTTCATTTGGCTGAATTGTGCTGAGAAGAATAAGGCAGGGTACACGCAATACACCCTGTACACTGGCGGCAAACACAGTTGTTGGTTGTTAGTAATTTCCTCATCGATGGAACGAATCATTTATCCATTAACAGTGATAACTGGCGCTCGAGTAAGTTCTTATTGTAACTTGAGTAGCCGCTTCCTGCACATATTGTTCAAAGAAAAATTCTGAATAATCAAGAAGCTTCTCAGATGTTGCTTTGTGGCCTGCACCGACAGGCCCTAATGATTTTAATGACGGGACTCGATTGCATAAAGAGCAGAGGAATAAGAATAAGCGCAGGTAGCAATGCCCTCTCCTGAAGAAATATTAGACTTTGCTGTGACGCAAGACGGGTTCTGAAAAAGAAACCTATGCATCAATATTGAAACAAAATATTTATGAAAGCAGCACTGCCTAATGCATTATCTAAGAACGCCTTTTTGTTCAAGCAACTCCAACTGTGTTTGAAGTTTTGGCTAATGATAGTTGTAGCAATGTGGTCATTGAATAATTCCACAGAAACTGCCACCGCTGGAGTGCTACGCACAACGCTCTTTGCATTGCACGCGTCGCGAACTAAGCGCCACGTCGACCGGCTCGTTACGGCAAGATAAGCGAGCCGCAGTGTACGAGCACTGCGGCTGGCTTGGTGGAGGTTCAAAGCAAGGTTAGAGGCCGGTGGCCCGTGATATTGACAAGCTGCACATTGTCGGTTTCGTCCTCATTCACTTTATTGGTTACGCTGACGCCGGCGTAAAGTTCTCAAAAGAAGGAAGAGGAATAAACGTTTATTTTTTGAAACGATGTAGCGGGGTAGGTTCCGCGTCCACCTAAGGTGCTTCTGGATCGAACAAGTTTTTATATGGAGACCTTACGCCGACAACACCATAGGCTATACGCCGATCAACAGTGGAATTGACACCTAAGCGGTGCTCACTCAAACACAAAAGCAAGTGCTTAATGAATGAACGAAGGAATGAATGAATGTGACATTTATTGAAAATAATGAACATCTCTTCCCTGCATTTGGAACAGAAGTGAGGAAGGAGTATGGGTAATGAAGGGTGAGACGCAACTACCTCTCAGGCCTTCGCGCGTGTCATTAACCTCTCCTGCATGACTCAAAACAGGCCCCTTTTGCTACTGTATATTTCGAGAGCTTTCTGTGCGTCTCGTGGCATGACTTTATTTAAATTTTGTAGAGCCACCATGATGGTGTGCAGCTGCTGTTGGATGTGTCATTTGCCTTTTAAGGGCACTGTGCGTGTCCAAATGACACGTTATAAATTTCTTCAGCACAGCGTCTAAAAGTGCATGCATAAAAATTCTAAACATGCGCTATCGCGCATACCACGCATGACTTTGGACGTGTTCGGTGCCGCCCAAGGCTTGTGATGCCGTCATACAACCTGGTAATTGAATACACAGAGACTTCGAAATATCTTGCGTAGTCTGTAGTGCCGTCGAAGAAACTTGTCACGAAGTCTGCGTTGGGTTATAGGCGTTCAGACTCACACACGGTCGCTGGGCTGGTCGCCGGCCAGAAAAAGTTGTTAGGACAGCTGTCGGTCGAAATTTTGTGTAAAATGTGAAACGTTGTGAAACTAGCTTTTGGTTTGTACGTTCCGGAAACCCAATTGGTTTATTTGGCACTCTAGACTGGCCCCGCCGCGGCGGTCTCGTGGCTAAGGTCCTCGGCTGCTGACCCGCAGGTCGCGGGATCAAATCCCGGCTGTGACGGCTGCATTTCCGATAGAGGCGGAAATGTTGTGGGCTCGTGTGCTCAGATCTTGGTGCACGTTCAAGAACACCAGGTGGTCGGAATTTCCGGAGCCCTGCACTACGGCGTCTTTCAAAATCATACGGTGGTTTTGGGACGGTAAACACCACATATCATTTATCATTAACAGCACTATATACTGTGGCTGATTTTGAATACCTGGAATTTTTTATTCGTTTACTTACATCTTCAAATAGGGGGCGTTCAAAGCGCCAACGTAAATTTTTCGTATATAGCTTGTTTTCAGAGGATTCCGCATTTTCGACAAGTGAATTTGTTTCCTGACAGCCCTGCGCTACGCTTGGCTCATGTACAGGTGGAAAGCAGGAGAGGTTCATTGGCGTTGCTAACGTACACATATGTATTTATGCACGCGAGTTAGATCTTATTTGCTGAAACTGTAGCGTTCACCCAGCCATGCGTAAATTGTACTTCTCTAGCTGAATTAAACTAACTTCGAACTTACTTTCTTTGCTAAGGAAATAAAAATAAATGCATTAGTGCTTAGAAGTTCCAATAGATATCTTGTAAGCTTATTTAGAGCACACAGTGGTATTGGTAGCTGTAAAGTAACCGAGCACTTGAAATATCACATTTGGTTGGTAAGTTTTTGATAATATAAGAACAGTTGACGTGAAAACGTGAGTGCATGCCATTAGATCACGTGTTAAAACATGGCAGCGCCCGAGTTTGCTAACATAACGTCTCCGAGAAGCGCGTGCAGACGCCACACTGGGGTATATCCCACTTGAAACTCTACAGCCCAACTTTAGTTGGTTATAGCTGTTTGAAGACAACAGGGCATTTCTTGATTTCTGGCATAGATTCAATATTTGTTTGCTCTATGTGCGTTAACACTCAAGTTATTCATTTTATGTACAAGAAATGAGTATACTTGAGCTGCTACTGTAACTGCACTAATGCTACTAAAAATAAGAATCATTTTCTTTGCAGCCATTATTACAAAATCGAGTAATACGGCAAATGAAGACGAGGCCACTGAATCATACGAGTATGATTTTAATCATACTATAGATTATGATGGTATGCTTTGTTTAACACTGAAGCCGGTAACACAATTTTGTTTCTTACGGTCACAAAACGTTATTGAAGGGGCCCCTGCGCGCACGGGATACACAGCAAGAAGGACAAGCGATTCAATAGACAAGTGTTATTGTAGTGTCCTTATACTGGTAAAATGCTTTTATTGATGTGACCGCTTTGGTTGTCCACACGTTTGCTATTACGTTATACAAGTTCTTCGCGCCATTTGTCGGTAAATGAATATTGTGCTCTGTGCCATAACATTTGGGGGGCGGGTGCATAAGGTCGACCTTAAGTAATGAACTTTCATGCGCGCCTTTGTGTGTGCGCGTGTATGTATTGTAGAGGAGAGAAAAGAGACAACACCTGTACGCCAGGACGGCTGTTCTTATTCTGTCGTTCACCTCCTCTTTCTCTATCTGCGTAGGAGCCCGTGTCCAAACCCCAGGTCCGTTGTAATCCTTACAAAGTATACGTGCTATAGGATAAAAAAAAAATCAGAAAATGCGTCCGTCCATCTGCGCGTTCATCCGTCCACCCGTCTGTGCGTTCATCCCTGCATTCGTACGTACATCCGTCCATCCGTGCATATGTTCATTCATGCGTGTGTCCATCGGTCCATCCACGCATCTGCCTGTCGCTTCGTCCGGCTGTCCATGCGTCTGTTCATAAATAAGTCCGTCCATGTAGCTACTCCAGGTACCGTTATCTTGCATCTTTTCATTATATATTCATCAGATAAAGTACTGCCATCCAGCGGACTTTCGAAGGATTAAACGAGAGGTGGCACGGCCGGACGCGTGCACTCTCTTACTGCCTACGCTTCGTGTCTAGTTCATGGCACCGCGCCCCAACCCTAGCTAAACCTTGCTATAACCATTGAGGTAACGCCCAGCGAGTTCAACGTGGCAACCTTTTTGGCCCAATATTGTGCTCCAAGGGCATCCTTCTGTTACTCGTTTTTTTAGTAAGCACCAAATTCAAGAAAAATTTTATCGGAGATTAACTCTCCTTAGGTTATTTCAATAGAACTATCTTTTTATTTATGATTAACGTGTGGGGGGTTTTGTCCTCAATTCAAATGAGTGCGCGCGTGCCGCTCCTTTAGTCTTGCCGTGGAGGTGGCTACGTACTACTACTACTACTACTACTACTACTACTACTACTACTACTACTGCTACATACATTGCGGATGCACTACTCATGGCTTAAGAAGCTTCACCCCTAAAAGTACGATGAATAATCTATTTGACTACAATATCAGTAAATGCTACTCTGCCCGAGTAAATTCATTGCGAAGCTGCCCACGCGGACATTCGCACCACCGTGTACTGGATATGTGTGGTCATGGTTGTGTGGCGTCAACTGGCAGGTAAAATTCAAATGTTGCCGAAGCCCTCAGGTAGGCTTCATACCATGAGGTTCCAATTATTAGAACTGACAAACAATATCACAACACAAGCACAATACATATTCTTTTTTCCGAGCTGAATCAATTTACGATACTTTTTAACATTGCTCTGTTGTTAGTGGAGCTGGCAATAACAAGAAAAAGTTGCAAGCACGTTATAGGCTGTGTCACACAAGCGCGTGGTAATGAATTCAATTTCGCACGCTGCCAGTCAGAACTTGTCGCCTGCATCAATGGTGCAAAAAATGAATGTCACAGACTGCGCTTCTGAAAACTACTCTCCTCTCCCTAGCCGAGTATTATGTTCAG